ATACATACTTATCTTAAATTGTTCGTAATACCTGACAATATTCGAATCGAATTTTTGAGGCCGTCAAACATGAAAAACAGTCTAAAATTTCTGGCATATGAAGATCTGGTTAAGTAACCGAATGGAATTTTATGGACTTGAAAAAATTTAAGATTTGAATTCTAAGGCTACAAGCGAGTCAAAATGTTTATTGAATATTTCAAGCTTGATTTAGTCAAATTCTAGTACCTAGGATTGAATGTACACGATGACACCATATGGGCTGGTCATACACGTGTTACAATGGTAATTACTGGGAAGTAAGGCTGTAAGGCGGTGCGAATCCAGAAAGATTGCCTCAGTTCGGATTGTTCTCTGCAACTCGGGAACATAAAGTTGTAATCGCTAGTAATCGCGGATCAGCATGTCGCGGTGAATATGTACCTGGGCCCTGTAGACATCGCCCGTCACACCCTGGGAATAGGTTTTGCCCAAAACATCTTTAAATCAATTACCAGTTTAGGAAATTCACCTTTTTATGCCAAATAGTATATACTTTAATTGTCGTATATTTTCTCACTACATGTTTGCCTATTTTTGCTAAGGGTGACATGAACATGCTTTTTATGCAAAATAATATATATTTTTATCAGATTTTAGTATGGTTAAATGTTCGCAGAATAGCATATACAGATCTAGAGTCTTTCAACATAATCCTGGTGGCCGACAACCTTTATGTGTTGTACGCGACTTCGAAAGCAGGTCTGGAGGTCTTGGAGACAAAGGCGCATAAGAGAAAAACACTGGCGAGCTTGAAGGTCGTGCACGGCATGCGCCACGAATATAGAACTTGTGTAGATGGTCGCATAGTCCGCTCAACATATGTGATTAATGTCAGTTATTCTCGAAACAATGCTATTGTTGGACGTTACCTATTACGAGATTTGTCCGAACCGGTTTCAAACTTGTAGTGAAAATTTGGTATGTATTTTTGGGTCAAACTTGTTTTCTTAATACTCTGTTCGTCTAAAAATAAGTGTTTATATTTTTTCTATTTTGTCCCAAAATAAGTGTCTACTTTTCAAAAAAAATATCCTTAATTACATTAAAAGTAATGTCGTTTACTTAATTAAAAAAACTGTAATAATTACACATTTCTAAAACCATGTATCTTTTTATTGTAGACATTTATTTTAGGATAAAAGGATAACGGTTTCAACAGGAATTTCCCTAATATTCAAAGTTGAGCGAATATTAGCTTGTTGGACCATCAATTCAAATTCAACCCAAAATCATTGAGTCAAACTCGACTTCAATATCAGCTCAGACTCAGCTCGAACGATTTTGTCTAAATACAAAACATGTTCTGGTTTTGATTCCAAATCCTCCTGCTAACCTAAGGGGTTGTTTGTTTACCTCTTAATAGTTCTATTAAGAGGTAACATCTGAATCGTTAAGAGGTGAATCTTGTTTGACAAAAAAAGTCCGTTTTTTAATGGTTCTAAAACCCTCTAAATGATTTTGTATCTTGTGTCTTCCTTAACCATTCATCTCCTTAGTTTAATTGTAAACAACTACCAAATAATTATATTTCATTTTGCACTTATTATGAGAGTCTCTTAAGCATTCTGAACACTTAATCATTTTGCATTAAAACATTTAACAACTGTCAAACAGCCCTAACCTAAGGGGTTGCTTGTTTACCTCTTAATAGTTCCATTAAGAAACAACCTCTGAATCGTTAAGAGGTGAATCTTGTTCGGCAAAAAATTAAAGTCTGTCTGTTAATGGTTCTATAACATTCTGAATGATTTTGTATCATGAGTCTCCCTTAACCATTCAGCACCCTAATTTCAATGTAAATAATTACCAAACAATTATATTTCATTTTGCACTGTATTATGAGAGCCTCTTAATCATTCTGCACAAAATCATTCAGCAACTGTCAAACAACCTCTTAGTCGTTAAGTGAGCCAAAAAATGCCTCCCTACATTGATTTTTTTTGCGATAGATTCCATACAGGACCAGTTAAAGTTACAGATCAACTTTCGGTCCAAATATCAGCTCGACTCGTTTACAACTCTGATAAATAATTATATTAAATCCCATAAATAAATATAAATATTTACAATTTTATAATAATAATAAAATAATAATAATAATAATGATAGTGGGGAGACGGTGTAAGGAGGGGAAATAGAAGTCAGCCAATGAATGCGGTTCTCCTTGTTGCCACAACTATGCAACACTTTGTTTATATGCGATTTGTTTATATTTCGGGTTCCCGTTTGTTTCGGCGGCCATTAAACACCAACTAATTCAATTCGGATCTTTAATTATTTTTTTAAATTATTATTATTTATTTTTGCTTCGATTGGTCGATTTTTTACGTTACGTAGTGCGAAAAGCTATAAATTTTTCAAACACGTAACATATACCTCGGTTTTGTAACGAGGTGTTCTGCCTTGACGAAGGATACTTGCACACAAGGTCGTTTTGGTATGACGTAAAGAGAACGCTATGACACGCAACTATACTTTGTAACAATGGCGACTCTATATATATTACTATATATATATATATAGAGAGAGAGAGAGAGAGAGAAAAGAAAGACGTATAAGTGGTTTGATTTATAAACCTAACGATTTTAGTATAGACCATACAAGTCAATCTCGATCGTTCATCTAATCTAATAAATATATAGTTCAATGAATATCTCGGTTGTTTTATGATATAATGTGTTGATCATAATAAATGAACTTTGATGATTTTCCATAAATATCTAGATCATAATAAATAAACACTTAATATTTTTGTAAATTTTTTAATTAATTGGTTTGCATGGTTTGTATTAATGACATGGTTTGTAAATGAAACCATGTCTTCACACACACACACATACATATATATAGGGGTCTAATCAGATGAGAATTGTTTTGTTTGTGGTAACCGTAAGATACAATCTCAACCACAAATCAAAGGTTAAACTAGAAAATTAATATTTTTGGTAGTTTTAATTAAAAGTGTTAATTAAGGGAATTTTAAGGATTTTATAAATATTCTCTCTCGTCTTTCCTCTTTCTTCTCTTCATCGGCGAACCTTATTTCGATGAACCTTATGTGAACACAAGATACATATTGTGATATCTATAAACGATATTCACTTTGATACCCATATATACATACAAGATGTACAATGTGATACCCTTTGTAAATAAATGAAAATAACGAAAATGCACACTATGATATATTTCATAAAACAAAGAAAATACATTGTGATACACGTGAAACATTGTGAACATTATCACTATAATACACTTTAATTCACAAACGTCTTTAAAATACGATGTAATTAGGTAACTAATTTTAATTAAATATTTTCTTCTAAGAAATTTAATTAAATATTTTTATTAGTTGTCAAAATAGAATTAATATATTATTCTGGTAAACGCTTACTGCGGTAAGAGTCGTCGCCCTCACTTACCGGGTAAGATTCATGGTCCTTGTCTCGCTCTTACCGGATAAGCTTTTTGGTCTTTATCATATTTCTCCGGTGAAGTAACATAACTTGGTAAGCACTTACCCGGGTAAGTGTTTGGTAAACAGCCCCTAATGGGCCGTTTACTAAATGCTTATTCAGATAAACGCTTATCAAATCATGTTACCTTACTGAATGAATATGATAAAGATCAAGAATCTTACTCAGTAAGAGCAAGACAAAGACCAAGAGTCTTATCCAGTAAGTGAAGACAACGACTCTTACCACGGTAAGCGTTTACTGCGTAAATTATTGCATACAACACCGTTTTGGTGGACTAAACTCTTACCCGATAAATAAATAGTAGTGTTAAATTTTACCGATAAACATTTACCGAATAAATGTTTGGTAAACGAACCCAAATTCTTATTTTATTTGCAAATCCCTTTTATAATAAAGAACATTATTTTAATTTGGTGATGCTATTTATTATCTAAGGCCGGATGTGTTTTATTTTGGCAATCTCCTACATTAAAATAAAAAAATGGCGCCATAATTCCAACCCGTGACTTTCCTTTATTGGTAACCTTAAAATTGACAAATAAAAAATTTAAAAAACACAGCTTTTTCATAATTAAAAAAAAAATGGTTAATTTAATATTATCGGGATACATTCGAGAGACCTCCGAATTCTTCATTTGTTTTTATTAGGGTGTTTATTTTAGGTATATAATATTTATAGACGATAAAAAAAACAAATAAATTCACACATCTTCTTTACTTTTAATGAGGTTTGAATCCTAAGAGGTTAAAAACTCACATACTGTTAGATTAAAGTTTTTTTATTTTTATTAGGGTGTTTGATGATAGTAGAAAACATCTCTTCATTCTATAATATATTATAAAACATTTAACAAAAACCTTTAAAAACCATTTTTTATGCATGAATTACTGTGTATTAATGCATATTATCTCAAATTTAAGATTATAAGTAAATTTTGTATAGTATAATTTATTAAAGTTCTATTTTTAAATTCGTATAACTAACTGTGGATAAACATAATCAAATATAGGATAAACATCTCATTGTAAATATAAAAAATCTAAAATATAATTAGCATAATCTTTGAGTTCTAACAGAATCATTATTTTTATTAAAAAATTATTGTTAAGCTACAAAAAAATTATTTCACTATTTGACCTAAATTAAATAACAATAAAAAATTAAATTAAAGAAATTGTAAAAAAAACAAAAACTTTTAAATAGTTAATTTGATATTAATATCGATATGTTTTTTCAAAATTTTATAATGTATTTAAATTTATTTTTATTCAAAAGTAAAACCATTATCTTTCTCAAAACCACATAAATCGTATTATATCAATAAAGACAAAAAAATAAAACGAAACATTACAACAAAGATGTATCTCGCTGCACTGCACGGATACCCTTTTAGTTTTCAATAATATCCGAATTTTAATTCATTTTCAAACAATATTTAGCATTTAAAATTTAATAAATTTTCGTTAAATTCAAGAAAAATGACGGTCTATTTAATCCCATCTCGTATGGTTTATGGTTTTTTCAGAGCCATTAACAGATTTCAATGGCTCCGGTAGGGTTCTTGGGAAACCGACTGTATAATGAACAGATCTTCGATCGTCTTAAAATGGGCGTCCATGGCGTCGATCCAAGATTCCGATTGGGTGGCACCAAAAGAAAAGTAGAAGCGTTTTCCGATCTGGGTACCACTGAACTGCCTGTTAATGATGAAGATTACGATGGTGACGGTGGTCGGAATCTTTCTATCTCCTCCTTCCACCACCGTCGTTACTTGCCGGTTTTGGACAATCCGGTGACCGGTTGGCAGCTTCCAGGATCGTCGAATGGCAAGATGAAAAGATCAAAAAGCATGCCGGAATCTAGTTTCAGTGATAACAGTTTTGCCGGTATCCATCGGAGTAGCAGTACTAATAGCTTTCCGAAGCTCCGGTTTCGGGACCATATCTGGACGTATACGAAACCGTACCTTGAAGCTGAGGCCATCAAGGACGCGATTTCGGAGTACGGGAATGTTGGGGATGATGGGAATAAGGACGAAATGCATCTCGTCCAGCTACTGGTCTCATGCGCCGAGGCTGTCGCTTGCCGTGACAAAACGCACGCTTCCAATTTGTTGGCCGAGCTTCGGGCCGACGCACTGGTTTTCGGCTCGTCGTTCCAACGGGTTGCATCGTGTTTCATGCAGGGGCTCACAGACCGGCTGGCAATGGTGCAGCCGCTCGGTGCAGTCGGGCTTGTAGCCCCTGCACGAAATGTAAACCCGGTTGCGTTTGAAAGAAAGGATGAGGCGTTCCGACTCGTTTACGAGACGTGCCCGCATATCCGATTCGGTCACTACGTTGCCAACTTAACGATATTGGAAGCCTTTGAGGGAGAGAGTTATGTTCATGTCGTGGACTTGGGAATGACACTGGGTCTACGACATGGACAACAGTGGCGTGCGTTAATCCAGAGTTTGGCTGGTCGTGCCAACCAGACTCGGACTCCACACCGCCTCAGAATCACTGCAGTCGGGCCCTGTGTTGGCCAGTTCGTTACCATCGGTAACGAACTAGAAACCTACGCCGGAGAACACAACATAAACCTGGAGTTTTCAGCTATCGAAAGTAGTTTGGAAACCCTAAAACGAGAAGACATTAAAACCTACAAAAACGAAGTTTTGGTAATAAACAGCATTCTCCAACTTCACTGTGTCGTAAAAGAGAGCCGGGGTGCGTTAAACTCGGTTCTACAAATCGTCCATGGGCTCAGCCCGAAAGCCGTGGTTCTTGTCGAACAAGATTCGAATCACAACGGGCCTTTCTTCCTCGGACGGTTTATGGAATCGCTGCATTACTACTCCGCCATTTTCGATGCACTCGATGCAATGCTTCCAAAATACGACACTAAACGTGCGAAAATCGAACAGTTTTACTTTGCAGAAGAGATCAAGAACATCGTGAGCTGCGAAGGGCCGAATCGAGTCGAGAGGCACGAGCGGGTTGATCAGTGGCGGAGGCGGATGAGCCGGGCGGGGTTCCAGGCGGCACCGATCAAACTGGCGGTTCAGGCGAAACATTGGCTCGAAAAACTCGAGATTTGCGATGGATATACGATTGCAGAAGAGAAAGGTTGCTTGGTTCTTGGCTGGAAATCGAGACCGATTGTTGCTGTATCTTGCTGGAAATGTTAAGTGATGGATCCATCTTCTTCCTTATCTGGATTTGGTGATTTCCGCCATTGATGACCATTAGAGCTACTTTCTGTGTGAACTTCAATAAAGAACTCATCAGCGATGGAGATGAAGCATCCATGATCAATGGTGGGAGAATTTGATTATGGGGGTGAGAGAAATAAAAATTTGATATTTAAAATAAATAAATAAAAAAAAGAAAAAAAAGGATGAAGAATGTCTCAAGAAGGTATGATGATGACAAGAGGAAATAAACTGGTAATTGGTGATTAAAAATCGATTAATTCGGGTTATCTATATCTATACTACTTTATAAAGCAAATTTACCCAATGTCTTAAAAACATCTTAACATGCATAAGGTACTACCCTTTAATGCAGAAAGTCTTAAAAATGTACAACTTTTCTATGCATTTAGTACTACCCTATGAAGCACTAAAGGTCCGGCTGGCTCTATCGCTTCCAAGTTCCAAACGACGCTCCTCTTTCCAACGCAACTCTGCCCAACGTCCAGCTCTCTCTATCGCGCTCTCTCCACGCTCCACGATTACAGAGATGACGATTCAGTCCCCAAGGCAACGATTCAGGCAAATGCGAGTGTTTATAAATGATCGCTCCACGCGATTCTCAAGCACGATTAAGGCGATTCTGTGGAGGTTTTCAAGCGATTCTGTGGAGGTTCTCAAAGGTGAGTTAAGTTAGGGTTTATTGCATCATCTGATTGAGTTAAGTTAATGTTTATTTGTAACTTCATTTTGAGTTAAGTTAGGGTTTATTGCGTCATCTGATTGAGTTAAGTTAGGGTTTATTTTGTTACTTGATTTAGTTTGTGTCTCTAATTTGCGATTTTGTGGAGATGAGTTACAGTTTTATTGACCTCAACCATCCAAAAAGTGACTATTGTATCCTTATAGAGTTTCTGTACTCCAGTTGATGGGTTTTCGTTAAAATTCCTACTTATTTTTCTTTAAATTTGTCATTTTATATGCTATGTGAGGATTCTTGCTGATTCAATTGATGGGTGTTTGAGAAAACTGGAAACAATTCCTACATTGGAATCTTTATATGGCTTTACTTAGTTTCATTTATTCGTTTCTAAATAGATCAGCATGTGACTTGGTGTTCTGTTTGAATGATTGGTTGAAGCTTTTTAGTTTTTTAGCTTTTCAAAGGTGAGTTACAGTTTTAGTGACTACTGTATCCTTATAGAGTTTCTGTACTTCACATGCATTTAAACCGTAGTTGCTCTTTGAACTGATTCTTTCTAATTCAGTTGATGGGTTTTTGTTAAAATTCCTACTTATTTTTCTTTAAATTCGTCATTTTATACTGTTGTGCAGGTTTGCCACCAAGATACATGAGAGACTCTGTTCTAGCAATTACCCCACTGTTTCTGTATAACTATACCACTCAGTGCATTGTATTCTTGAGGTGTGTTTTCTTTTTCTTATAGTTTATGCACTTCACATGCATTTAAAGGAGTTAGGCTTATTATAATTGGTGTTTGTCTTTATCTACAAGATGATATTTTCTTTTTATTTCTGTAATTGATATTGTTGGCAATGGTTTATGTGGTTTTCCATGATTAAGAAACTGTCCTTTTCATGGATAAACAATTAATCTATGAGGTTCATTTGGTGCACACCTGATAAGATAAATAATAATCCAAGTAGACTCATTGCATTGAAATCACGATCTGTCTTTAGCACATGGACGAACCTATAAATTTTTTCAAGTGATGACACCATTTGACTATAGGGAAAAATTTTCAAACGGTGACATCGTTAATTTGACTATAAGAAACAAATATATATAATATTTTCCAATTGGTGGTACAATTTGACTAAGAAAATGACACTAACACTATTTGAACATGGGTCTGGGGTTTGATAAAAGCCTTGCACACCAAATAAAACTTCTTGTCATTGTAGTTTCAAAATAAATTCGGTGGTACACAACAAATTAATACGATTGCACCTTTCAAACATAATTTTTTTTACCAATTGATGGAGGAATAATACGGTGGCACGTGTCACCTTATGCACCACTATAGGTGTGTCACTGCTTTAGCAATTTGTATGTTTGGGTAATATGTATCTTAGTGGAGTATTTGTGATACGGGGTATGAAACCTATGGTACAGGTTCGAGTTTTGTCCAGTAGTCATGCAAAACTACTGGGACCTCCTCCTTTGGTGGAAGAAGTACTCCGAAATATTCAACATTTAACTTCCTACAACTATGGAAATTCTAATAGTCTTTGTTCATTTATATACTATAGATGTTTAACATAAAGATCGTATATTTTAATTGTAATGCAAACCATATATAACCACAGTAGGAAGAAGAGAATAAAAAACATGTCTTTTTGAATGAGAAATTGCTAACAATCAGTGGATTGGTACATTGCCTAATAGCCTTTATGATCTTGCCAAGCTTACTACTTTTGATGTCCATAATAATAGTCTAGAGGGTAGTGTTCACTTTGGTTCTGGTAATTGTATTCTTCTTGAGGGATATGTATTTTGCTATCAGCTGGAATTTTGATAGCTCAACCAGCTGGATTTTTGAGGCTAAGGCTATTATGGATTTTGTTAGTGTTAATACCAACCATAACAGGTACAGATTTTTTCTCCATTCCGATTATATGGGATAGTACAAGAGCTGACATGATGATAGCAATATGCAATGTACTTGATATTTGGCATACATTTAACTTTGAACCTGTTCTGATTAAATTGGTTACTAGCTCTTTATCTTTCACATAATTTAACAGAAAAGTATAGTATAGTCAAGTTCTGTAAGTCATATGTTTTAGTTAAATTATTAGTTGCAAATAGTGATTAGTACTTACTGCAGGAACATTTTTCAACCTTCAATTGATGGTGTGGACTCACTGGGTATAAGCTCCTTGGTCAGTGTTGGAACTCTTTTTCTCCTATATTCCATTCCTACTTAAACACCCGAGTGTTGCAGATCAATCTGTTTTGTGTTCTTTACTAATTTTCAAGCTTCAATTTGTTTTGTGTTCTTTACTATTTTGTGTTCTCATGTTCCCACCAGGTGTTTGACACACTTGTGTTTGGAAAGGACTATCACTTCAAAAAAGGACTTGCATCTGTCAATCTCTCTGTATAATCAAGATTGAGTGATTTTTGTTAGTTAGGGAATGGTAGAAGAGTAGGCAATGAGAGTTGATCTGGTTTGTTTTAGTATTGCTTATTATTGTGGGAGTTGGTTTTATAATTCCTCTTAAACTCAGGTGTGTCTCTACTCATTACGATGTTGAATACTCAAATATTTTATTATGTTTAAAGTTTGTGGATTAGTAGATAAAAGAGGAATTGTAGAGGGGAATCCTTAACATGGCACCCTTAACTAGTTTATTTATAAATGAGACAAATAAAAAATAGATAAAAATCCAATGAGGAATAAAAATTCTCTTGTGGTTACGGAAGTTCAAATGCAGTGACTCTGGGCTATCTGTAAAGTAGGTGATCGTCCTGCCAAATTTGATTTAAACTTTAATATTGACATAGATTGGCTAAATATAAAAATCTTGAACGTGATATTTAATATTAATTTTTTATGGCATCAATTAATTTTTTGCTATTAAATTGATTTTTTTATTGCATTAGTAAAAAACAATTTTTATCGTGGTAATTTGGATTTTTTTTCGAAAAAATCTTCAATTTGATATCTGAATTTAAAAAAAACAAAATTTGAAATGAAAAATAGATTTTTTTTTTGCATTAATTTTTGAAAAAAATGAATTTTAGTTATTTTCTATAATTATTTTGCAAGTTGGTTCCCCAAAATAGGAATCAGGTGCAAGTTGGTTATATAAAATAACGATTTTGCAAGTTGGTTCCTCAAGATAGGAATCATGTACAAGTTGGTTCCCCAAAATAGGAATCAGGTGAAAGTTGGTTCCTCAAAATAGGAATCATGTACAAGTTGGTTCCCCAAAATGATGATTTTGAAAGTTGGTTCCCCAAAATAGGAATCAGGTGAAAGTTGGTTCCTCAAAATAAGAATCAAGTGAAAGTTAGTTCCCCAAGATAGGAATCATGTGAAAATTTGTTCCATTTTAATGCAATTTTCCCTAATGAAAATGCATACTTTGATACATTTTATAAAACAAATAAAATACATTGTAATGTACGTGAAACATTCTGAACGTTATCACTATGGTACACTTTGATTCACAAAAGTCTTTAAAATACGATGTATATTAAGTAACTAACTTTAATTAATTATTTTATTTTAAAAGATTTAATTAATTAACTGTGAGATCTAATATGAACCACTCGTTTGAGATATTTAAGAATATTAAATTTTTTAGAATGAACTATTTAATTAAAATTAGTTACCTAGTATATCAATTACCTAATATATATCGTATTTTAAAGACGTTTGTGAATCACAATGTATCATAGTAATAACGTTCATAATGTTTCACGTGTATCACAATGTATTAATTTTCTTTGTTTTATGAAATGTAGGTATCACAGTAAATATCGTTTGTTTGTAGGTATCACAGTGTGTATCTTGTGTTCATATAAGGTTAATTGTAACAAGGTTCGTCGAATAAGATTCACCGAAGATAGGAAATAGGAGAGATGAGAGAAGATATTTATAAAATCCCTAGAATACCCTTAATTAATATTTTAAGTTAAAATTGCCAAGCCAAAATTATTAATTTCTTAAAGTAACCATTGATTTGTGGTTGAGATTGAATTTCACAGTTACCACAAACAAAACAGTTATCATTTAATTAAATATATATATATGTATATATATGTGTGTGTGTGTATATATATATATATATATATATATATATATATATA